CTATACGCTTTTCCAGGCCTTCTTTGAGTCCCTCTTTTAACATGGTCGAATCAAAATTGTTTTATTATAGTCTTGCATTTTCTACTGAAGTGGCTAGCTTCCTCCCTCTATAGCATCCACTTCTCTGCTATACAACTATATCTAAAAGAACTTCCACCTGATTTTCTCTCTATGCAGCATAAACCGCATCAATATCCGCATCAAAAGGTTTTGATAGTTAGGTGCGGGGTCTGGACAACCGTTGATTTAGCTGTGAAGAGCAAAATAAATCCCCCCAAAGGACCAGAAATATCACGAGTAATTTCCAAGCGTAACTAAAGTAAGGATATACATTCACGAGTAATGGCGATCTGTTTGCTAACGCAGAAATTGATAAGCGGATGCAAGTATTGGACGATATTCTTGGTTTGTGAAAGAATCCTTTAGAAGGAGGATATGACTCGGAGAGTGCTCCGGTTTCAAATAGCGGAAAGAAAACTTTAATGCACGTCCTAAACCTGCTAAACACAGCGCTTTTAACGTATATTAATCATAGCAGGGTACTAGAAATTGGGCAAAGTAATTCTGAATGGATTAACTTCATTTCCAAACAGCCAATGTAACGAAACTTGACGTCAGGATAGTTTTTCGGACATTATTTTTGTACCCATTTGTTTGTTTCAAGCTTGAACTAAGAAGCCAACGTTTTGAAGCTTCAAACATTTGGAAGACCTAACATGAGTTCAATATTGGAGCCTCTCAGGGCTATGCTGAATCGCTTGGTTTTGGAGCGTAAACGATTCGCATTCGGCGAATGCGATTCTGGTTAAAGAGATAGATAACTTCTTCTAGGGGTGGTAGATTATTGCCAAGCATTCATAACAAACACTATCTGAGCACCTGCATTAATTATTAAGAAGCAAAGATAATATTTAATTCCAGTAAAATTACATAACAACTTGCTCTGTTTTAATAAAAGGGAAGCTCTCTTCTTTTAGTTTTAAGAGACATAAGAATAATTTTGCTGATTTTTTGGCTAAATGGTGTCAATGTTGCAGCGGACTTTTTAGCTTGGCTGTGGTTATTTTTTATTGTTGCTTGATTGTAGTTTTTTTTTTTTTTTTTTGAATATTTTGGCATTCTTTTTCTTAGCTCAAAGACACGAGTGGTTAGAGAAGCCGTAATCGATTGAGGTATATTCCGAAAATGCCTAAATTTTTCTTTGGTAATCTTTAATCCTAATAAATTTTTTTTTTGTTGCTGATAAAAAAAAATTACATACACTTTGCTCTAATATAATTATGGGGGTTCCTGTTGATCAAGGCTTGCAAGTAGAAAGCCCCAGAGAGTAGTATCATGGAAATTGTAGGCAGGATTTTTGCTAACTGATCAAGAACCTAGCCATCCTCGGAGCAATTTTAAGAAGTAAACTTATTGAGGTTGCAAGTATATTGGCATCTCCACTAATTTATCTCCTTTTTTTATAGAAAAAATGCAAAGAAAGAGCGTCTAATAGTTTTTTTTTTTTTTTTTTTTTTTTTTTTTTTTTTTTTTTTTTGAAGAGAGAAAAACTTTATTAAGAGAAAATCTGAAGAGATACAATATTTTCCAATGTTCCATTTGGCAGTTTTAAAGTCACTCCCTGGAGACTATATGCAAAAATTTTTTTTCACAAAGTAGTACAATTAAGGGCTAGCCAATTCTTTTATACACATTATTTTTGAGCCGAGCCGATTATCAACATTATTTGAGATTAATTTTTTTTGATAGTATGTGAATTGACGTTCAAACCCGAGTTTGAGTTTTAATATCAAAATCAGAATTTTATTCCAAATTTAATATATTGCAATTTTCGATAGCCTTATTGAATCAATAAAAACTTTAAATTTTAGACTATATTTTTTATTCCTAAGAATAGGCATTTCATTTTCGATTTTTACTTACCTGGTTAAATTTTTTATCTTATAATTAATTAACTTGTAATTTTCATAATAAAATTTTATAAAATATAAAAAAATAAGTATTCTATAATATTAAATAAATATCAATTATTTTCATTTTTCACAAATATTTTATAAACTTTTTGAGTGGAGTTTTATAAGCTGATAAGCTTTGTTTTAAAAAAAAGCAATTGAACTTTATTATAAATTGAAGCTTAAAATCTGTTTTCTGATAACGAACGAATTTCGATACAGCCTTTATTAAGTCGAACTCAAAGTTAACCTCGAATTAGCTTTGAATTAAGAATTGTTTTACAATCCAACCCTTCAAATAAGGGTGGCTAACATTCCTCCTGGCTTTTAATCCATATTATCGACATTTCTGGTTACTGAAGACGTGCAAAGCAATTTGGGTTTGTTTTTTTCTTTTTTTTTCCGCTGTTGAAGGCCACTAAATTCCAAAAAAATAAATTAAATCCAACATGTAACCAAAAATACGCAGAAAAGTTAGGGGAACTACAACATTAATTAATCTCATATCATGAAAGAAACTTAGGGTCTGTTAGGCGAAAATTAGTTGTTTTGGTGGTTTGTTTAGTTTTATTTTAGCTATGCGTTTAGCTGTTAGCTATTTTTAAGTACTTTCATGAAACAATGTTAAAAGTTAAACCGTTATTGAGTTAACTTTTTACAAAAACGCTATCTAACCTCTAAAAATTTAGTTAAAACGTTTGTTACTGAATACTATAAAAATAGTTGTTTTAAGCGTTTTTGACTAATCAAAAACCTAAAAACTATTTGCCCAAAAATTATTGTGAAACACTATAATGTCCTTTTCTTTATTTCAGTCAATGGTAACAGAATTCCTGTCTAAAAAATATTTCTTGAATTTAAAATAACTTTAATTTATTCCTTTTTACTATCATGAAATTTCTACTTTAATTTTAAACCATTAAAAGTATTTCTTACTTAATTCCTAATATTAAGGTAAATTTAAAATAATTTTTATTATTTACAATGAGAATTTCTTACTTTTATAATAAATATCCTCTTCCTTATTTTTGCATAAAAGTTATTTTGAAAGATTAAGTTATTTGCAATAAAATTATGAAGAATTTTTTTATTTAATATCAAATTTACAATTTTCAATAAATTTTTTAAAAATCTACAGGATTTATTTATATCAAATTGGTGGTGAGGGAGGAAGAATTTGGAAATTAACTCAAAGTGGAGAAGATTCCTTCATATAGTAGGCCAATCAGTGATTGAAGACTATAATGCAACTCGGTGGTATATGGCATATTGCAACTTTTTTTACCCCGGCAGTGCGGTCCCCGTCCACCGCTGCCCCGTTCCGCGCCACGCCCCGCCCCCCATCAACGCAACCTCCCGGTGCTCCCGTCATCCCGACCGACCCCCCCCGTAGTCCGCCGGCCCGACCTGCAGATCGGATGGCGCCTCCGCTGGGCGCCCCCGCGGCCCGCGTCGAGTGACCGGCGAGACTTCACCGACTCCCCTTCCTGTGAATTTTTTAATTTTTTAAGAATTTTTATTTGAAATAGATCGTTTGGAAAAATTTTCTAATTTCTGATGATTTTAAATTTAAAATTTAAAAAATTTTTGCAAAAATCATTTTATACCAAAAAAGTTATAAGATAAATACACAGAATAAAGGGCAAATTTTCATCCACTATCAACTTAATTTGCCCGATTAAAAAGTTATTTGACTTTTTAAAGCTAATTTAAAATTTAATTGAAACAATGTCAGGTTTAACTTTTTAGGCCCAATTTAATACTGGAATTTTTTTCACCTTTTTGTTTCTTAACAGTTAAAACACTTTTTCTAAACACTTCTAAACATAAAAGTGGGTCTTCTAATACAATAATTTATAAAAGTATATAGTTATAAACGCTTTAATTTGGTTTGACATAAGTCCTTCTAATACAATAAATTCTATATAAGTATATAGTATAAACTTTTAATTTGTTTGGACATGGAGAAATACATAAATTGCATATGCAATAATCGAGAATTTAGATAATTATTTTTAATAAATTGTACAGCTCAATCCTACTAATAGTTTTAACAAACGTCTATATAAAATTTTTACGTTGTAAGTACATAAAACAATTGACTCAAAATGTTAAATCTGATTTTTTTTAAATCATTTTAAAATAAATTTAGAAGTTAAATTGACCAAAATAATTCGATCTCAATTGTTTTAAATCATTTTAAATAAATTTGAGAAATAAATTTACTAAAAAGATCAAATTTAAACTTTAAATTATCCACTAACAAGTTCAGGTACGAAATTGGAAACTTTATTTCAATAAATATATGAACTATAAGTTATTTTCGTTTTTATTATGAATTCCATTGTTGTTAAGTTTACCACAAGAATTCCTAGTTAGATAGATATAATTGAAATAATGTAGTAACTTCAAATTACAAAATTGAGAAATACATAAGCCTATAATGAGAAATTAAACATTTTAATACAGGCAAACTCATTTTTAAAATAGAAATGGAGACTTTTCAGTAAGCAATTGCCTAGATTAATCAATTTGGTCCAACTTGTGTTTTGGAAATACATCTTCAATGGTGTTCGGCAATCTCGTCTGCACCTCCGTGAGATCATCTCGACTTCGCGGCCATTAACTCCTTGAAAACCTCATGAATAAGCCTTATTATGTTTCACATTCTCCAAGGGTTAGTTTTCCAGCAAATGCAGTCCATAGCCAAACGAAACCCCTTGTCGAATTTCTTTACCTTGCAGTAAAAGTTATCTTCCGGTCAGATGGTTGACATAATCATCTTCTTCCATTAAAAAAGTTTGACTTCTCAAATTCCATAACAATTCTATCAAGAACATCAGAGTTTTCAGCGAGATAATTCCTCAGCTGCATTTTCTTCAATGAACCCTCTCCTTCAATGACATAGGTTGCTTCCCCTTCTCTTTTCCTGACGCACTCCATTTCCACAAGCCAACTCCCAGGACCTCAGATTCAGAACAGAAGCGCTCTGCCAAATTGTAATCCCAAGATCCGCTTTTTTCATTGCAGTTCCCAATTTATTTTTTATATCACTTGCACAGAACCTTAAAGGCCAGTTACCTAAAGAATACATTAATATAAAGAGCAATAAGACCATAATGACTCAAAAGGAGAACTTGATCGAAACGATGAGAAAAGACAACAAATATACGGATTCTTTTCAAAGAGTTAATTTGCCTTGTTTGGTATAAATCAAATTCAACAATTTTTTTGAATTTCACGTGGATTTTGTTTTAATGTTTGATAAGAAAAATGTCGTTTAAACTCCCATGAATTCAATTTTTATGGAATTCAAAAAACAATACTCATCAATACCCTTTGTAAAATTACTCCTATAAAATACTTTTTCAAATTCCCTTTGTAACCAAACAAGAGGTTAAAAATGAAAGGCCAAGTAAGGCGCAAAACTGAAATTAAGGAGAGACAAAAGTCAATCAATCCACAAACCGTAAACAAGAGAAAGGTCAATTAATCTAGCATAAACAAGATTGAAAAGGAAAAAAGTAGAAAGAAAACGTGGGAGAATTGTGAGAATTCATGTTGAATCTTTGACCATAACAATCAATTACCCTTCTAGAAAACAGATAGAAGATTTCCAACCCAATTTTAAGTAAATCAAGAGAATCTCCATTGCTGAGGTGCATAAGCAAATAATACATTTCCATAGACCCAGATAGTTCAATCAAGCTCCACACTAACAGTAATATTAGAAGTTGTACCTCATCCTTGATCTTGAGCAATCCTGTTCTGGCCATTCTCAACCGTACAGCTGAATAGAATTTCAATGCATTTCCCCCACAAGTGGCCTCCTCTGTTCTTCCTGGTTTTAAACCTGACCTGACCTTTATTCAAAAGAGACCAAAATGGATAATGTCAGCTCCGCAACTCGTACAACATAATACACTAATAAGAACAAAATGCTTGTGAGAAATCAGGCCAGAACCTGATTAAGAAATACAATAAGAGTTTGAGACTGGCATAAAGACTGATTAATTTTCCGAAGTGCTCGGGTCATTGTTTTGGATTGCATGTCTGTTGTACTACCTATCACAGTATCAATCTCATTTTGTGGTACAAGAGCAGCAACCTGTGAACACCACATATGAAAAAATATATATATATCAAGCATGCAAATCTGGCAAGAGAATCTGACAGAAGACTAAAGTGATCTGGAAAATGCAGTTAGATAAAGGCTCTAATACCATACAGCAAAGAGCAAAATGAACTAACCATATTAAAATAAGTAGAGATATTGCCAACATACACTCCTTTGATGATGATGATGATTATAGTACTGGCAACAAATTACACTTCTTAGTAAAGAACAATTCAATATATAAACGAAAATAAGATGCAAGTAATTATTCACACATTTGTCAAGCTTTCTAGGACAAATAGGTAACTTTTTCACTCTGTGTGAACTTCAAACAAAAGCTCCACAAATTGACAGAAGCGAAATACCGTGTCTTTGTTTTTCTTCTACAATATGCTATTTTATTCTGCTCGAATCCTTCAGCTAATTTTAAAGGATACTGCTTGTTGAACATTTTACAGTTGCAGAATATCATACAGGATTTAAACCTAGAAGCTAATCACTTCCTAAGCAAACATAAACTAGGATTTCACAAACATCAGAAGCATTCACTTGGTCAACCTAGGTTCTTAGATGCAATCATGATTTACCAAGGGGTGCTTCTTGTTCTGTCAGTGCTTGAAACAATTTTGTCTTTTCTTCTTTCTTTTCTTTTTTTTTTTTTCCGAGAGAGAGGAGGGGGGTGGGGGGGAGGGCGTTAATTCTCATTTATTCCCTATTTTGGCTGTAAAAAGTTTTCATGACTTTACAAAAGTATCAAAAAATCAAACTCTCCCTGTATAACAGAAAACCAACTTGTCCATGCACATTCAGATGCAGTTACCAGCATATATTAAGTGTCAAAATTAAGCTTATCAGTTTTTCTCCATTTGTTATTCAGTACTAACACCAGTCATAATTGACCCATATTCACTATAGCTGTATTAAACTGGATGGATATATATGAGCCATTACAGCCACTGAGAGAACTGACATCACTCTATAGCATCAAAAGTCAATAGATGAAATCATAAAAGCCTGCAAGTTCACATTAACAGAATGGAACAAACATTTAAATAAGGCCTTATCTCAACAGAAAAAAAAAAATTCTGAAGCAACCAGTTCACATGGTCTTTTGGTCTTATGGATGATGGAATCTCACGAGAATTTGTCCATTTTGATAAAAGTAGATGGCTAAGTTCAGTGCATCTACAGCTTTGGCGTAGTAAAATTCAAATCAGACAGATGATATTTTGCAATAAATACCATGACAAACTTTGAAGCAATAAACACCTTGATGATGGACTAGAAAGCTACAGTAATTGATAGAGGCACAGCTGGACGTAGAATTGCAAGTTATGCAGGTATGCTGCATGCATAAAAATAAACTTACACTATCAACCACGATCACATCCACTGACCCGCTCTTAGTCAGTGTATCAACAACACACAGCAACTTTTCAGCAGATTCTGGAGGTGAAATAAGTAGATTTTGCGTGTTTATTCCCATTGATTCCACAAGTGAAGGATCTAATGCATTCTCAACATCAAGATATGCACAATATCCTGACAAAAAAATGATTTCGATGAGCCAAAAATGATATTTGACTTCATAAGCTTACATAACATATGATCAGCATAAAAATAGAAAACTAGGTAGCATCTTTATCATATCAATACATATGAAAAGAAAAACAACAAATTAGAATTTTCAAACAAGCATAAAAAATGACTATTAGATATTAAGATGCATTTTCCCTTTAGTAAAGTCTGATGCAACTGTAGTGGCTTTTGGTAAAGTCTCTCACCTCTATAGCCATACTATGGCAATAAATAAGAATCAAAATGACAAATTTTCTTCTTAATTATCCATTCAAGTCATTATACATAACTATTTAGACAATCATTGGAACCCAGAAAATCTCAGGAAAATATGGAAAAAATTGAAAGAAACTTCAATTGAAACTTTAGAAAATAAGCAAAAAGAATAATAGTCATTCATTTTTTCACTATTTGTCCAAGTAATTTTAACTACTTTAGTTTCATTATGCCTTTCTAATATAATAAATAAATACACTTTCTAAAGCAAGAAAATCTTCATGGAGATTTTGACAAAATATCAAGAGTCCTTTTACAAAAATGTTGATGTTCCATATAAGCATAAACCTGAGTTTTTTATGTCTCCTTGCACCTTCCAGAAAAAGACTCGTCAATTCCGAGATAAAGCAGTACTAAGACATAAGACAGTTGCAACTTTTTTATACAAATTTCAGAAGTATGTTTCCTTACGTTTGTAGAGCACAAGTGAAAAGAGGAATAATAATCTGTATCCTCAAAAGTAGAATAAGTCCAAATCTTTTGGATTTACTTTTTATCCCCTATTACAACATGATACCTGGATAATTTGCCTACTGTCAAGTACTTGGCAGATAAATTATGAAAATTCATACCTTTGAGTCACTTGAACTACATTTTGATGTTGATTCAAAGCTGAGGCGGAACCATTTAATTAACCCATAGACTAAATTTTTTTTTTTTTTCTTTTCCAAAAAAAACGTTGCCATGGCATGCAGGCACCATCACTGAGAAACCCACCAAAAAGTGGATCCTAATTAATGGCTATTAAAGTAATAGATTAATTAATAAGGCCACATAAATATCAGATGCTTGGATGTCTCAAAAACTAATACAGTAAATTGGCATAAAATGGTTTAAAAGGAAAATTCCTTTATTAAGCCCAATGCACATTATTAGCATAGTTGTTATTTGATTTTTTTTTTTTTTTCTTTCATGAAAAATGTATCACTACCTAACTTGACTCCACCAAGTATTTGCCCATGTGACTTGAAGGTATAAATTGCTCAATTTTCATTTGATTGGATTGTTATTCAAGGACCAAAAATGAATACATATATAAGGTTCAAGATAAAAGTTTAGAACTAAAGAAACCTAATGGAAAGAGCATCAATAGGTGATGTAGAGAAAAAAGGAAATGAATGAGCAAGCCATTAAAATTTCATGCAACAAGAGAAGAAGATAGAGATGAAACGAATAGATATCAAGTTCAAATTTCTTTAGTTTATATGATAGAATAATAATTTGAAATTGGTCAGCGAAACCTAAAGCGTCAAATGAAAATTTTGAAAAATATAAACAAGCACTATTGATTTCACTACGTATATTCAAAACTGCAATTAATCACAAGTTTTTTTATTTGTCTAAAGATCCTGATTTATGATTTGCAATAACTGGCAAAAGTTATCCAAGCTTTGGCACAAACTATTTTAATCACAAAGCAAACATGATGTAAGGATAAGCACATGCCTCCACGCTTTTGTGCTTCCTTGATAATATGAAGCGCAAGAGTTGTCTTCCCAGAAGCTTCTTGCCCATAGATTTCGACCATTCTTCCCTGAAAAGTGCAAGGTAGAGTTCACCAAGTTCTAATTATGATATTCCAATTCTCCAAAGCTCTACTTATAGGGTGGTAAATGAAAATTATCATCTCTACAAAATAAATATTCATTAAGAATCCAATTATTATTTAGACAACAAATTTGAAAATGTCTAATGTTCTTCTAATGAAATTCAAAGTTTCCATCCAAATTGAAGCTGACAAATGCTGCACTCATAAGGTTCCTGAAGCATTCATCCCTACAGCTCTCACAAGTAACAGTCATGCATTACGCGCAAGTACCAGAAGTAACTTTGACTGATTATGACATTGACATGGAATGCTAGACCTTTCTCTCAATATGAAGTCTGAATAAACAACATATTCAATGAGACATGGCAACAAAGCATGAAAAAACAAAGGCACTAAATATCGTAATGCAAATCACCTTAGGTAATCCACCAATACCAAGTGCAAGATCAAGCTTCAATGAGCCAGTAGATATCACAGGACCATGCCGTGAGCCAAAAAACTTTTGCAAAGACAACATAGACTCTGTACCAAATTCGCCAGCAAGTTGTGTGATAGCCTGACGAAGTGCAGTATCTTTCTTCATTACCTCACTATCATCATGGAGTTGATCACATTCAAAAATATCTGAGACATTTGCTGGAAATGCAAAAGCATTTGCAATTTAGTAAATATAATGACTCGCTCAAGCAAAAAGCACTAGCAACCAAAACAAATTGAATATGCCTGTACAGTCGAATCAGTATAAATTATATTCATCATCAATTAGCTACTTATAATTCTTCATAAACCTATTATAAATATACAAATTTCATAACTATCTCCAGACATATAACAAGTTACAAATACAGTTCAATCAATCACAAAGTACTAATCTTGGGCATTAAGTTATATACAAGCACACACACACACACACAGACACACACACACACAGACACACATGCATATATATATAAAGACCAGCAAGTTCATATTTATAAATTGCACACGAACTGTAAATAAAATGCCTATAAGTAGCTATTCATTACCTACAGAACATAGAACACGGGCGTTCCACCTAATACCAGTGGTTGCATTTCTTGTTCCGTCCTGCAAGCAAAAAAAAAAAAAAAAAATTAATTGGTAACTGTTAAACTTCATTAAGAGGAAAAGATATAACATTCATCTCTATCAAAACAAAAACAGAATTTGGTGAGACTAAGAACTGTTGAGCAGTTAATTTATATAAAGTGAAGGAAAAAAACGCTCAGTAGAAACAGCAGAGAGAGACCTGAAAGAGAGAGCAGAGGCGAAATCTTCCAATGAAATTAAGACGAAGAGAGTGAAGGAAAGGCACCATTTCTATTCCTTTGCAGACAAATGTTTAATAGTTGGAGATGCGAAGAAGGAAGAAAGGGGCGCGATGATTTCGCTCTCTGCACTGAAATAGGGATTTGAGTTGAGTGTTCTCTCCCCTTTTTGCCAGTTCAGAAATTACCATAATTTACCTTGTCTAATTCTCCCACCATTCCCGCGCTGTTACATATGAGAAAGCGTTATTTTACCAAATATAACATTTTTTTGAAGGTAAAATTATCATAACATTTGTGCATTTCTATTTAATTAGCTAAACTTGGGGAAAAAAATATATAATATGATTATCAAAAAAAATCTAATTGGTCTCTGTGAAATGCTAGCTAAATGTTAGGATATTTAGGGTCAATTTGACAAAATTGGTAGCCGTTAACTATTCGAATAGTTTTTCATAAAACGCTTAAAAGATAAACGTTATATGAGTTTATTTTTTATAAAAACGCTATTTAATCTCTAAAAGTTAGTTTAAATGATATGTTATCGAACACTACAAAAAATATAACATTTAGATGTTATATTATTAAACACTATAAAAAATAAAGTTTAATGTTTTAACTGGTCTAAACTCTAAAAACTATTTTAAATAAAGTTATTGCTGAACACAGATTTAATGTTTAATAAAAAATTTTCTTTAAAGTCTAAAAGTTATTATAAATATTGTGTTACTGAACTTACGAAATAGTCAATTAATAGAGATGGAGTCTTGACATGGTAAGAAAAAAAAACTATCTCCCTTGCCGAACAAATCATAATTATATTGTTTCAAAATCTAACCAGTAAATTAATTAAATAAAAATATATATTATTTTCTATCGTATCATTTTCTCTTAACTAAAACCTTTGTTCCTAATAAAATTAAATTTTAATTATCATTATCGATATTAAATTTGGATTTGATAAAACTTAGAAAATTAAAGTCAAGTTTAATAATGATGAATTAAATTATTTGTCTAACGCATCAAGGATAACAACGATTTTAATCAATATTAAGAAAATATTAAAAATATTTTTCCAATTGTTATGTATTCCTAACAGAAAAATCTTAAATTATATTCACTGATAGATAATAATAAATTATAATCTTTCTTATAAAATAAGCTATTTAATAGTTTTAAAATAGATTGTCTTTTTAGAAGAAAAAATATATTTTCTAATAATTGATAACAAGTTATATTTTAACATATTTTCGTCCTTTATTAGTAAGGGCATTTTGTCTATTTAATTCTTCCACCTACTGGGTTAAGTGTATGTTCGGCAAAAATTAGCTATTTTGACAGTTGTTAGTTGTTTTAATGGTTTTTTTTCTGTGTAAACCATTTGTATATACTGATTTTATTACCACGAACTGCTGGACGACCTTAAGGCTCTTGATCCTCCATGTAGGTTATCAAATATGAGAGCTCTTTCTACATGTATAGTCTGTATTGCTAACTGAGCATAACCCGTGCATTATTTTAATATCAGTTGTTAGTTATTTTAGTAACTTTTCATGTAAATCTAAAAGTTAAATATTATATTTATTAACTTTTTCACAAATCGCTTATTATAATTTGTAAAAGGTAGTCAAAAGGACGTTACCCAACATAATCTAAATTCGACTTTCCAATTAGGAAACAATCCTTCTCCAGCATTACAGCAAAGCAAATACAACGTAACAAGTGTCTTACAAAATCGCCTCCACGTTAATGCCAAAACGACCATTCCCTGAATATAAAACGCAAAATTACAAAGTGCCACCGTTTCACTCGCAGCCTCAGGTAATTTCAGGGAATATAAAACGCAAAAATACAAAAAAGCTGTGCAAAGTTGGCAAAAACGACCCAGGCAGCAAGCAAAGGAACCGACTCTCTCCTCTTCTCTCGCAGCCTCAGGTAATTTCATTTATCATTTTCGATTATCCTTTCAGAACCCTAACACATAACCATAATTACTTCCTCTGTTTGCTTGCCGAGAAAATGCAAGAAAATAAAAACTAACTAGTTTGAGTCTCTGTTTTTCTGCTATGCTTTTGGAATTTTAGTTTGAACTAAGCATTTGATTATGCTGGTGATATATCTAAAATTATGAGTATGCTGTGTAAAATATAGTGCATCATGCATGTGGTTTGATTATTTCCTTAATGCCTTTCCTGTTGTTGGTTTCTTGAACTTTTACTGATGGAGAACAAGAATACAAGTAACTGTGATATATTGAAATGTATTGAGTATGCTGTTATAAGAAATAAAAGGATAATTAGAATAAAAAATTAATTTTTACTTTAGATTTAGTTGTAATTTTTTTGGTTTTTAATTTTTTTTTTTTTTTTTGGTTGGCCAAGAAAGAAAGAAAAATTACGTGATACATAATTTTTGGCATTGCTGTCTATTGTAGCCAAACTTTTCGAGAGAATGAGTTCAAAACTCCCAAATTGTGTGGCAAGTTTTTTATCATACAAATTTCACACAAATGTATTTGAGGAGGGGGGGAGGAATAAAATGGTAGAGATTGAAAATGCGACCAAGTTTTTCATTTTTTATTCTTATAAGTGTTAGGGAATAATTAGTAATCCAGGCCTGAGACTTAATGTAACATTTTAGATATTAACACAAAAACTTTTTTAATAAAAATATATGCCATATTAGCATTTCAGAGTTGTAGCATATCCCATTCCAAGTTTGGTCATAGTTGACAGAAACGCTAAGGTTTGGGTATATAATTTGACTGAATTAAAAAGATCAGCTACAATTACAAATTGGACCATACTCTTGTATCCTTTTCGTCATTAACTGTTTGAAATATTGTAAATCAAGATTTTTGATTAATTTGCAAAATAACTGTTGTTGAAGACATTTCACCAATTGAGAAAGAACATAATGAATGCTAGTATAAATTTTCAATCTCAAGTTAATGCATATGTATTTTGGAACATGCATGTTTTTTTTTTTTTTTTTGGTTGGCCAAGAAAGAAAGAAAAATTACGTGATACATAATTTTTGGCATTGCTGTCTATTGTAGCCAAACTTTTCGAGAGAATGAGTTCAAAACTCCCAAATTGTGTGGCAAGTTTTTTATCATACAAATTTCACACAAATGTATTTGAGGAGGGGGGGAGGAATAAAATGGTAGAGATTGAAAATGCGACCAAGTTTTTCATTTTTTATTCTTATAAGTGTTAGGGAATAATTAGTAATCCAGGCCTGAGACTTAATGTAACATTTTAGATATTAACACAAAAACTTTTTTAATAAAAATATATGCCATATTAGCATTTCAGAGTTGTAGCATATCCCATTCCAAGTTTGGTCATAGTTGACAGAAACGCTAAGGTTTGGGTATATAATTTGACTGAATTAAAAAGATCAGCTACAATTACAAATTGGACCATACTCTTGTATCCTTTTCGTCATTAACTGTTTGAAATATTGTAAATCAAGATTTTTGATTAATTTGCAAAATAACTGTTGTTGAAGACATTTCACCAATTGAGAAAGAACATAATGAATGCTAGTATAAATTTTCAATCTCAAGTTAATGCATATGTATTTTGGAACATGCATGTAGTCTCTATCTTGATCATAGAAATCAAAACTATATGCCTGTGTAGCTGTATAGGGTTTAGACTAACCTTCAGATATACTTCCTTCACTTGGCTTCTACCATTGAACTATCCATTTGACAGAGAGACTGAAGTTTGGGCACTTTAGCAAATACTAAATATGCTCAATCTTATGCTAATGCTTTAAGTTGCACGTGTCAATCAAAAACTTATGAGCTGAATATTAATTACCATTATTTTCAGGTTAATTATATGAGATGTGTTATGGTCTATTCTACTCGTTTTTCTTATTGTAAGATGCTAGATAAGGTTTAGGTTCTGTTTTTTGGTGGAGAGATGGTTGTATTAAGAGGTTACCGATTATTCAGTTATGACAGCTCTGTTAATATGACATCTATTTTTGGTTTTAGGATCACATTATCTGACAATTTTGTTTCTTGGTTTTATTTATATGTCATATAAGGCCCATGATAATTTTATCATACGGATTGGCCACTGTGATTTGAGTGATAGAAGATTAATCTATGGCTCTAAGCAAGTTGTTTGCTGTGGATTGTCCTAGTCAGCTTGGTGCTTTCTAGATGTTCAAATATCTTTACTGATTAATGGCATATTGTGCTGGATCAATCAAAATTTAAATGTAACGATATGTCATCTTGTGAATCTGGCAATAATGATGATAGTAATTAAACCTATCACATTCATCATGCTCTACCATACATGAGAATGAGGTTCAATTCTTTTTTTGGAAGAGTTTAATTTTCTATTCATAACCATTAGAAACACTGTTGAAAGTTAATGTTCTTTCAAGCCAAAAACTTGTTTTGATCTTGCTGTAGTTGATCATGTTTTCTGCCTTTTCTTCTTCTTCCCTTCAGTCTTATACAGTTTTTCCCCAATAAAATACTTTTTGGCACGAGCCCGGTGGTTATGTGCCAAACTCTTTTTTTTCCTTTTCACCTATTTTTATGGGAAAAAGAAGATTCCTCTGCGGTGGATGCACAGGAAATTAAATACCTCATTAGTTGAGGTTTTGTCTTTTGTTTAATTCTTCTTATTTTGGTACGGGTGAGAAATTTTATCTGCTTCCTTTCCATCCTGCTATGACATGCTTTGAATCAATTAATTGTACACAACTGTCATATCTTAGGAGGCTTGCTGAATCTTGTGTTCAGTATGCATGGAATTATGATTTGAATTGAGTGATTCAAAAACCACTCTCTGGGCTGCAAAAGGCCATTTTTCTTTTGATCATGCAATGTTTTAATGTTTTTTGTCTGTTAATGCTCAGTTGTGAGAAAGAAGGCTGTCATTCTCCTTTTTGAGTACTGATAATTTTCCTTGGTTATTTCTCGTGTTTCGTGTCTTTTCAGAAGTTGTTGAATTTGCATGTTTGTGCTTGATATTTTGTAGCAAAGCTGTTAAATAAAAATATTTGCCACTGCAAGAGTTACTTGTAATACGGCGAATCTTACATGTACTGTTGTTTAATAGGTTTCCGCAGAAGATTGTAGAGTCTTATTGCCCAGAAAGAAAGACGTTTTGTGGGAGGTGTTTATACGTTATGGAGTCGGCTGAAATTTCACATGGTACTGTTTTATGTATCACATACTTAATTAGAAGTTAACTTTGATGGTTCTTTTATTGCAATTTTTTTTTCTAACATTACCAGAATAAATTTGATTTTATGTTCCAAGCTTAGGAAGCATTTGGAAATTTGTCAGTAGTTTATGCTGTAAAATATATTTATGTACTGAAAAATTCCAAAAACCATTGAGGCTGTAGTCAACCATTAAAAATGTCACACTTAGCTCTGATGGAAGTTTATTTATTTTTTAATATTTATTCGGTATTTAGTAGAAGAGGGAATTGAATTCATTAATTAAAAAGGTTGAACTTTCTAGTGAATTTAGAGAATTCTTCGAGGTGGTATACTTGAACGTTCTAGTGAATTTAGAGAATTCTTTGAGGTGGTATACTTGGCTTGCTTTCTATTCTTAATACTCTCTATCTTATTTTGCATGATTTAAGTGATACCTTTCCTTCTCACATAATGTAATGTGGTTGGATTAGGATAAGAATTTAGTTTAGCAGTTTTAAGCACATTTTCTTCTTTCATTATGTTTGGGCTGTGATAGGAATTGTGTACAGGAGATTAGGTCATTCAAACTTTCATGTTCCTTCCTTTTTAATAGTTGCCACCATGTAACAGGAGGAACGAAGTTGAGGAGGTTAACCCAAACCTTTGTGATGAAGGAAGATAACATGACATCAAAATATTAGTGGAATCCTTCCTTCCACTTTGGAATGTAGTTCAAAATTTATACAGCACACATACATGCTGATGCTGGAGTGTCTTTTCTATGTTCGAAGTGATAGCATTTTACTGTTAATGATGACTTTCAGTCAAGAAATATCAGAATGTATTAAAACTCAATGCATCTTTTTGTTAACATCAGGGTGGCTTTTCTATGTCTGAATTGAGTGCATCTTTTAACTTAATGATGACTTCCATGCTTAGTTAACATATCTCAAAAGTTAATAAATTTAAACTCTCTCTCTCTCTCTCTCTCTCTCTCTCTCTCTTTTGGCTGCATGACGTAATATCATTTTGCAAGAAAGACTTGATTTACATGTTAGTTAATGGGAGCTTCTTAAATTAGAAGACAAGCAATTTAGGACAATTATGTGGGGACCGAGTTGTAGAAATTTAATAATCATTCAGTTCTAGATTATCTGCCAAAAAAGATGGAAGTCTATGGGTCAATTGTAGCACTATGTATAGAGGAAATATAACAGATTAATGCTGATATGCATTTTCATTTAAAGGATGTTGATAATTGCACGTGATCAAATACTAAATCCAAAAAGGCACAAAAGGGTGGAAAGCTAGCTAATTGGTTAGTATTAACCTTTTAGCATTAGTCGACCTAAGCCCAAGTAAGCCTACATTACTCAACTTTATCTTCACGAGTCTAACCTCTTATGCAAAATCACCTCTACCCTTTAAATTCAAATAGAGCAGGTTCAACCCAATTCAGTTATTCCTCATTGGCGAGTCCTATTCAAGTTCAGTTTTAAGGGCAAAATCTAGTTCAACTTCAGAGTTCAGTTTCAAGGGCAATGCTAGTTCAACTTAAAGGGGAGGATTTTAAGTTTCAAGTGTCACCAGTCTTGGTCACACTTTAGGGGAGTGTTAAGATCCCACGTTGCTCAAATACGGAATACATAAAGGGTATATAAGGGAAGAAAGTTATCTAGCTAATTGGTTAACTAACATTTTAGTATTGGTTGATCTAAGCTCAAGTAAGCCTACATTATTCAACTTTACCTTCATGGGTTCTAATCTCTTATCCAATCACCTCTATCCTTTCAATTAAAAATTGTAATAGAGAGGAAAAAGGAAGGGAGGGGATGGGGGTATTGGTTACCTTAAGCCCAAGTAAGCCCGCATTATTCAACTTTATCTTCATGGGTTCTAATCTCTTATCCAATCACCTTTACCCTATCAATTAAAAATTGTAATAGAGGGAAAAAAAAAAAAAAAAAAAAAAAAAAGAAGGAGGGCGTGAGGGATTGGAGGAAGGAAATAGGTAATTGTTATTTATTTTATTTGTTACATTGTAATTGTACTTTAAAAAAAAAAAAAAAAAAAAAGAAGAGGGGTGAGGATGGAGGAAGAAAAAGGTAATTGTTATTTATTTATTTTGTTACATTGTAATGGTACTTTTGTGGAATCTTGAAACACATCTTAGATTTTGATAAATGAGTCTGCAGAAAATATATACAGGAGCAAATAAAGCACTATATAAGTTGTTTGCTTTGCATAATAGCCAAGAGGATGCTTCTCTTATTTAAGCTAATCCAGAGATTATTTATTTCATACTTGTTGTCTTTCTTTACATAGTTGGACCATTTGTTTTTGGTAAATATCAATATAACTGATATAATCAAATGAATGGTATCATTTTGAATGTACTATTTTCTTTTATATGTTAATCTTCATGTCCCAAGTTGCTTCCCATCAAAGTGAAAAGTGCTCAGGTTTATTGAGGTTTTCTGCTCTAAAAAAATTCTTCATACTGCCTTTGGTTTCTAGAGCATTCACATTCTTGGATTAAGGCAGGACAAGGATAATAGGATACCTCAAGAGCGCTGTACTTACATTTTCATATATGATTGAAATTTCAGTAGGGAATTCCAACTTAAAAGACTTTTATATTTGTCCAAGAGAGCTGGCAAAGATTTTGCTCTTTTCCAAGCATTTATGCTTGAATTCCATTGTCACTCACATGTAGTTTTATGAGCTTTTGAATGCTTCAGATGCAGATGAAAACAGCACAAGGAAGGAAGCAACTGAATCCAAGCATGATGGTGCAAAAAATGTTCTAAGACTGGTTCCAAGTCCCCCTACAAATTATGAACACATTAACATGGTGGTTTGGAAAGGTGGGGAAATAGTTCCCCGAGATGTACCTGCTGGTGAGGGCACATGTGGGGAAGTAAATATGGAAGCTTCCATAACAACTGATGATGTTATACGGGCTGGAGGCTTTGGTGCTAGAGATGATATAAACAACTTTCTTCCTGTTGCAAGTGACTCAACTGACTTTGAAGAAACTATCCTTGATGCTAGAAACTATGAAGAGCCACAGCGTGAAACCCAGAGACCCGGTCTTGGTTGGAGAGACTCAGCAGAAAGAAAATAACTTTTTTGTCGATACTAATGTCGTGAGTTGTTGCAGTCAACTTTTGCTGTCATTATTTTGCTTTTAATATTTTGTGGCATGCACATCACATGTTACTGTATGGTTTGACTTTATTTATTATAATTTCATGTTTTTGTTAGCTTTCTCTGATACAGTTTATAAAAAAATAGCTAGTTCCTTCTTGGCAACAGAGATGCCATAAATTAGATGCAGATAGCTCTCTGTATGATATGCTTTAAATCATGAATCTGAAGTTAATGCCTTGATGTCTTTTTTTAAAAAAAAAACATTTGCATACTTCTAATTTTCAACTTAATTAACAACATTGTCAAATGGTCTACTACTTTTCTTTCTAATGCTGCTTGTGGAAACTCAACGATGTATGAAGGCTCAATAATTTACAGTTTTAGGTATAATGGCCCCATTTGGCTGGAGCACATTTTCGTATTTGTGGCTTGCTTAGCTGGCACCATATGAAGGTTTTTGCCTTCTAAAAATTCTTTGACCAGGAGCTAGGATTGCTAAAGGGTCATAAGTTGATTTCCTCTGTACAAAAACTTCCCACTGAGAGCCAAAGTGAGCTTGCCATTCTTGCTGGGTGCTATAATGAGGCAAATATTGTTTAACTCCAAGATCAGCCTTGGAGCAGGAATCTAGAATTCTTTGCTGTTGAGCTAAAATGTGTTGCAAGCCTTCTTTGCCTTTGGAAGATGGTACTGCGGAGGATAAAAATGCAACTAAATAGAAAATATCTTCTCCTGGGGTGATAAGAGATGTTCGATTATTCCACCTGCAATATGAAGGAAAATTTAGGTTGAGAACACATCATCTTGGAATTCTGTTGAGGAAATTGATTAATTATTTTTTTGTCAAATTACTTGGACTTTTTGACTGGATAGATGAGGATGGGACCATTGCTACTTTCTGTAAGGATGTTTCCAAAGACCTCTTGAGCAAACTCAAATATTTTGCTTTTGGGTATTAGAAGATTCAGCCATGGGTGTGGAACTTCCCATAAACCTTTCGCACGGAGCTTTATCTCAGACACATGTACTCTGTCCAGGAATTCCACATAAGGAACTTCTGACATGAAAAGTGTTGATGGAATAAACTTTAGTTCTGACAGTAAGTCTGCAGTTTTCTGTAATTAGAGCATAAAGGTTAGAAGCAAGTACTTCGATCAAGTGAATGTTACATCGCATTGCTGTATGATACTTTTCTTGAAGTTTTACCTGGTTCATAACATCAGATTCATCCGGATTGAAATATATAGCAATTTCTAGACAGTAAAGAATTTTTCCATCTGAAACGAATTGGCTGGCTTGAAGAGGGTCTTTGGGATTGAAGGAGGATCTCCAGTTGTTGAGTAGACCGGTTCTGTTTATTATTACAAATCCTTCTATATAGTCAAAAGAATTCTCAGTTGATATTAAATGCTCTTGGTCATTGGAAAATTCGGAAAACTCAGAGTACAGGACTCTAATCCATTTCACCTGTCAAAAATAAATGATTCCATTATAGAAGGTGCAGTTTTCTATTTATTGGACGTCTGGGAAAACAAAATGTAATTTACCATCTTAGGTGCTCTTTCGAGAGAAATTCTAGCCCGGGTAATTATGCCAAACTGTCCTAGTCCTCCAAGAACACCATAAAAGAGGTCTGCATTCTGCTGCTCTGAACAGGTAATTATTTCTCCTTTTCCTGAATTCAAAGTCTCAAATTAGTTTCAGAATGAATTGTATTATTGGTCAGGGTAGGTTCTTTTCTGCTGTTTTCTTAAAAGGGTTTAGTTTAATTTAGAAGCAACGTTTTTCACCACTTGGTGTACAGGGGTAAGGTTGTCATTTCATAATGAAATGAGAAAATCATGCCCTTCCAAATTATCTGAGATGAATTTGTATATTTCGTACTGTGATATTGAGAAACATGGTTGCGAAATTTTGTGCAAGAGCAATAGAGCATGTGTAATAGTACCTGTGACAACCTCCAACTGGTAAACATTGTCGATCTGGGGTCCATGTAGGAATGCCTGTCCGCTAATTCCAGCATTTGATAAGGTGCCTCCAATGGTGAGGTGAAGGTAATCTGTCCAAGATTTTGGTGCAAGCCCATATTTAAGAGTTTCATGCAGAACATTTATCCATAATTCTCCACCAGAAACATCGACATAAGGTGGCTCACCCGTGTGAGTCCGCATCTCTGGACCCTGAAGTGATTCCATGTTGATTACTATACCTTGATGAGCCTGTGCTTGACCTTGAAGTGAGTGGCCATGGCCTCTGGCAGCCACTGTAATATCTGAGGTGGAACCCATATTGAAAATATATTTTATTGTGGAGGAAATATCAGAAACTGATTTTGGATACAGAACTGCTGATGGTAGGAAATGGTATATGTTACCAAAGTCCTTAGATGCATGTTCAATATTATCAAAGCATAAATGACCTTCTAGATTGAGTCCTTCTAGTGCAGGGGTGTTAGAGGAACTCTTATAAGACAAACTACTAGAGTTCACTCTTTTGAAAGAGTTGTTAGAACAATGGTCAGATTTCTCAGGCATAGAGCATAAGAATAAGATCATGAAAAATCTAAGGAGCTTATTCACGTTTTGTTTCAGTAAGTTGGAAAGTGGCAACATCATCTTTTTTTTTCCTCACAGATGGAGAAAAAAAGAGCGAGGGAGAGAGAGAGAGAGAATATGATATTTGTGAGGGGAGGTGTTAAAAGGAGAGGTGCAGAGGAGCTTATGCAAATGGAAGGTGATGAGAAGAGAATTTAAAGGGAAGGTTTTGGGCGGCATAGTCTCTTCTTAAAAAAAAAAAAAAAAGAAAAGAAAAGAAAAGAAGGGAGCAAAAAAAAAAAAAAAAAAAATTTAAAAAGGGAAGGTTTTGGGCGGCTAGTTTCTACTTTCTTAAAAAAAAAAAAAAAAGAAAGAAAAAGGAAAGAAGGGGAGCAAAAAAAAAAAAAAAGAAACAAAAAGTCAGGCGCTCACCAGCCATGTATTCAGTGGCAAGTCCGTATGTGACTGTCCATACATTTGTCTTATAGTGTGCTGTGTTTTTTTTTTTGGGTTAAAAAAAAAAAAAAAAAAGAAACAAAAAGTCAGGTATTCAGTGGCAAGTCCGTATGTGAACTGTCCCTATACATTTGTCTTATGAGTGTGTGTGTGTGTGTGTGTGTTGAGGATTTTGTCTCTGCTCTCCTTTTGGGCTTCAAAAGTTAAGTGGGTAAAAGTCACAAGAAAGTGAAAATACTTCTGCATAACAGTTATACTTTTGCAGGTACTACTCACCACATCATCTTCTTTTATTTATTTATTTTTGTTACCTTTTTATTTTTCCTCTATTACTTCCCTTATATAGATGCTATTACTGCCACAAGCAATGACACTACGTCTACTACTTCAAGGAAATCAAAATTTTTTTCTTGAAGTCTATAATATATTTGTTGATTCATTTTTTTTTATCTTTCCCTTTCTGTTGCCTTTGAAATTTGACTCTGCATGGCTATGTGTGTTTGTGATTGCACTGTTGTCAGTTTTAATGTCCCAAATAGGACTGAATTTCCGTTGTCGACGGGCCGGCCCCTACTATGTTGTATTTCTGCTAGAGTTAAGTGTGGTCATAACATGGGGCCCCCTGTCACGTGATATTCACGAGGATTTTGTTTGTGGAAAAATATTTTTGGCAGTTCAGATATTATGATACGACGGCTAACATTTCCTTCAACTTTCGCTTTATCCTTTAACAATCGTTACTGTTGATAGTGTCCTTGTTGGTCAGTTTCTAAGTCTACTCAGTTCAAGTCTTAATCTCAAACTATATAGCAAGTGCAAAACTGAATTGGACTTTTGTCCCTGCAGATAGCTCTTAATAATGCCCATTATATGATTGACATATTTTGCATGGATGCAAATCCTCTACAATTGTAGTAATCTATGACCATTGCTATATTTTTGGTCAGGCTGGTCATATAGATCTGCTTCTCCGTTCCATTTCATTCCATTCAAGATTAGGATTATATCTTCAGAAAAAGTTAGGTTGATCTAAGTCCTTTTACCAGAAAACTTTAAGGTTGCTCTTAGGTCTTTCAAGTATTTGTTGGCTAATTAACATCTCAATGTTTAATGGTTATCATTTTAAATTAAAATGTTTGAAAAGTGAAATTTCTATTAATTGTTTAAACAATCTCTGTATTTCTTGTTCTTGGTCTAGGAGGGTGAGGGTTCGTATTTAGATCTATGTCCAAACTACATATGTAAGTGCTCTAAGTTATGCATAGAAGTTAATAACAATGTTTAGGTCAAGTCTAATTCAATAAACTATATACCTTTTCTTTTTTCCTTTTTGAACTATTTTGGGGAGGAAGTCAGGATCAGATATGCGCTAAAGTTAGACATGCACTTACTGGTAAACTAAACTATGAGCACATCCCCACAACTTTTTTAAAAGTCTCCTTATGCTTCATTATATTGTGAAAGAGAATGTGGAGGTGAAATGCCATGCTTGATGGTTATGTCTCCAATTTTCCTTAGAGAAATGAAGTCAATATTATTACTTTGATGAATTGCAGTACCATCTTTAACGTTTGATGTGTAGGGGCCTGGGGATGGTTGACTCTCTGTAAGACGAAGACGAAGACGAAGAAGATGGGATATGCAGATGATGGGATTGATAGTTTGAATGAGGGAAACACTAAAAAGGTTAGCCTATCAACTTGGATTAGCTTGGAGTCTTAGATCCCAGCACTGGGGCATCCCTAAAATGATTATTCTATCTGGCATTCTAATTTAATATTAAATTGTGTGTCAAAAACCACTGTTTTAGGAATTATTGCCCCATTTGCTTCTGCTATTGACTACCTAATAAGCATCCATTTGAATGCGGCTGTTCTTTCAGAAAACAAAATGCTTAATCACAGATCATTTATATATATATATATATATATATATCGCCTTAAAATGATTATTCTATCTGGGCCATTCCTAAATTTAATATTAATTGTGTGTCAAAAACCACTGTTTTAGGGGGAATTATTGCCCCATTTGGCTTCTGGCTATTGATACTTAATAAGGCATCCATTTGAATTGCGGCTGTTCTTTCAGAAAAACAAAATGGCTTAATCACAGATTCATTAATATAATAATATATATATATATATATATTTACCTCAATGTTTTTTTTTCACCCTATAGTTTCTTTACCTTCCTTTGATAGGTGCAGTTGGTCCCTATATATTACCTCAATGTTTTTTTTTCACCCTATAGTTTCTTACCTGTCTTGATAGGTGCATTGTCCCAAGTATTGGGTTAGTGACAAATAAATTACTTTCTAATCTCAGTCTATGAAAGTCAAATCTTTCATGATTAGAGCATTAAAATTTGGTGAGTGTGGTTGTATAATGCTTTTCTTTGTTGGAGTTGATATTCTTGGGGGCTTAAAATGCCACCTGTCATCGGTAAGCATGTCATTGGATCCTCAAAGTGGCTTTTGTCTGAAAGATCAAAACTATTGGATTGAAATATAAAATCAGCATTAGCTACTCAGATTGGACAACCAAAACATTCATTCAAGCCTCAATTCAAGTGATTACTGGCCTTAAAGCAAAAATGTGTGAGCTTCAATTTAGTAATTTCATTGGACTGATGCATTAGTTGAGTGCTCAGGAGCATATTCGAGCATCTTTCCCCTAGGGTGATATCACCTGTGCTGATCTAATAGCTATTGTCTGAGCACATTCCCCGTGCGCAGTTTCTTTTCTTGCTAAGCTCTAGACGTTGTACTATTACTGTTCAAAATAGGATTGTTTTGAGTTTTTTGGTCTACCAATTTTAATTGAAAGCGAGTCGGTTTGCTTGCTACATAACTCCGGCCCGAAGATTAAATTTTGATTATGAAATATGTTGGGTTTTATGTGTGTTGGGTTTTATGTCGAACGAAATTGTTAGACCCTTGAAGGCTTGACTTGATGATGAGCCATCAAGAGAGACAAAGATACGTTTTATTTTAGCTTTTGGTTATAAATAAATAGTGCTAATGTATTCTCAAATCTTTGGAGAGTCCATTGATTTGGTATTTTTCATCCTGTATGTTTGCTTTGAAGTTGTTATGTTCAATTATTCTTTTCGAAGACTTTGACTAAGAAAACCATTTAATCAAAATAGGTCTTCAGCAATTATTTCAGTTTTAAATAATTATTATTTTTCATCCATGTGGATTAAGCACTCGTAAGATATTAAAATGGTTCTATAAAGATCTGGTAAAAACTTTTTTTTTTTTTTTTTTTTTTGGTGTTTTGGTAAAAACTTTTTTTTTTTTTTTTTTTTGTTGGTGTTTGTTATAATTGAAAATTGTGAAATAAGGTGGTACAATTTATGAACTGTTTTTCATTTTTCAACTTTTACGTTGAAACTTGCGAAAGTAAATGTATGCAGTAAAAACGAAATTTACCACAAGACACACATAATAAATGAGGTCTTATACTATCCATAATAAATTATCTTTTGCAATTCATAACATCAAGACGAGGCTATAGTGTGGAGATAATGAATTGCTTCCGAGTTTTAAAAAGATTTATAACACTAAATAAATAAACTTAATATTCAAGCAGAATTTTATTATATAGTACAATTTATGATATATATACTGAATATAATATATAAAAAAATCTTACAAATACTAATTAGATAAGTATTAACTAATTTAAAAATAAAAAATAGAAAATAGATAGACATAAATAAATAAAAGAATGAGTAAACACAATTTTTTAAAATGAAAAGAATGTTATAAAACTAGTGGATGTGTTCTATGGGTTAGAAATCTGTATTTCTAATTATTGTGAACTCTATCTTTTCAATTTGTATAGAATTTTATTAAGATTATTACACTTTCGTATTCTCTCTTTATTCACTTTATTCTTTTTTTTCGCGTCTCTCCCAATTTTTCTATTATTTTATAATAAATAATAGTTTATTATTAATGTAATAAATGTATTGTTTGAATCACAAAAAGAAAATAAAGAGTTATTCGTTAATGCAAGAAATTTATTATATGACTGTTAATTATTGAAAAAAGAAAATAAAAAGTTATATAATTTAATTTTTCAAATTAAAAAAAAAATAAAAATTTGAAGAAATAATAAAATTTCACATCATCAATTAAACTTTTTAATAGTGTGTCACATTATCAATTGTGCTTCAACTTTATATATAACATTATCCAATTGGCTTCTAACTTTTAATATATATATATATATATATCCTATATATATAGTGATATAAAATATATATATATTAGATGGTTAAAAATTATAGGTGGTAAAAAGTTTAAAAAGAGTCCAAAGTCTTATAATAGGGGAGTGTGAAAAAGAAAAATTGAATGAAACATGTCAAAACAAGAATCTATTCCTCGGAAGATTAAGATTACAAGATTTGAAAAAATATGGGACCATATATATATAGATGGTTAAAATTATAGGTGGTAAAAGGTTATAAAAAGAGTCCAAAGTCTTATAATAGGGAGTGTGAAAAAGAAAAATTGAATGAACATGTCAACAAGATCTATTCCTCGAAGATAAGATTACAAATTGAATGACCCTCTTTTACACATGATTTCAAGATAAAAAGTGGAGCTATTTGGTCATTCTCAGTCTAGATATGACAAGTGTTACACAATAGTTCTTTAGTACAAGTAAAATCGAGTTGTTCTTTATTATTTGGCTGATCCATGATGTTAGTGGTGTAGCTCACCCTAGAATGTGTTTATAATTTTTTA